TCCCTCCCTCTTTCTTCTTCTTTCCTCTCTTCTTTCTATCCTTTCTTTTCCCCTCTCCCTCCTTCCCTTCCTTACTCCATCCTTTCTTTGATATTTTTTGTAGCCTAGGTGGTCTCAAACTCACTATGTAGCCAAGGATGACCTGATCTTGAACTCCTAATCCTTCTGTCTCTTCCTCCTCAGTTCTGAGATCCACACACCAACTTTAACTGGGGACTTCAGCAAACTCACTCCAGTAGCAGTATGCTGAACTGACTGAGCTGACCCACTTTACTTACCAGAAAGCTGAGTGGGAACATAGTGCAGGGAACATAGTAGGAGGTTTTATAGTTGGTGCAAAGGGAAAAGTAGTTCCTTGGTGGGAAAAATAGCTATTAAAGAAGAATAGTTATTACAAACACCAGCACCACCAACAAACAAAACCAACACCACTGTTCACCTACAAAGGCCAATCCGTGACTTTGGTGTGGGGAGGGTGGGGGTCAGAAATCTAAAGTGATTTCTGCGACCTTCAGAACTGAGAGTAAGTGGGTGCCTTGAACTAATGGTACATATCAATGTTAGACAACTTTTAGAAAAAGGTAAAATAGGAGGAAAAGAGAAAGTCCAGGAAGAAGAATTGAGTTGGAGGTTGAGTCATTCATCTGCTGGATGTGAGGCCCTGGGGAGACAGTTATGTGAGACATGTGGCTTGGAGCTAGGCATGCCAGCTGGGTTGAGAAAGAGATCAGAGATGGAAGTTTTGTTGTTTTCTCTTAAGAGTTGTACTTGAAACCAAGGCTGCAGATGAAGAACATTATTTTCCCATCTTTGGAGACATTTCTTGCATTTACTCTTTGTCAGTTACTTTTTGTTGCTGTGATGAAGTACTTACAAAAAGGTTTCTCTGGCCTCATGGTTTCAGACACTCATTGCTTTTAGACCTGCAGAAGGCAAAAACCCCAGGACAGAAGGTGGAAGAAAGGCTCACCTCATGGTAGTCAGGAAACAGAGGAAGAGAGGAGGGTGGGAGAGTGGGAGGGGCCATCCCACCCCTAGCTATCTATTTCGTCCAACTAGGTCTCACTTCCCAATAGCCCATTCAATATGAACCAATTGATTAACCCATTGATGAAGTCAGCACCCTCACAATCCATTGACTAGATATGCCACCTGGAGACCAAGACATGGGCCTACACTAGCTGATAGCTATAGTCTTCATAGTCTTTTTGGAAAAATCTCCTTTGTTTTTTCATTTTTGTAAGACAGGGATTCCCTATATATCCCTGACTGGCCTAGACCTCATATGTAGACCAGACTGGCCACCAACTTGCAACAAGTGTGGGGCCTATAGGAGTGAGTTACCATATTGGCTTGGAAAAAGCTACTTTGCAACTAGTCAACCATGGCTATCAACCTGCACTTCAATCCCCATGCTTATCCCAGTTTTATAACAAGAATGGATCATAGTATTTTCAAGTGCTATTCTAAGCATTTCTTGTGATCTATAAACAATTTACAACAACATATGAATTAACTGTAAGTATTTTTTTTCTGCAGATGAAAACGGAAGGGGAAGCACATAGTAAATGGTGCTTGCTTACAGCTGCATAGTCACCCATAGAGTCAAAAATCAAACTTGGTCCTTGCTAGGCATGGCAGCCCATGACTTTGGTCCCAGCACTCAGGAGGCAGAGGCGAGTTGATCTCTGAGATCGAGGCCAGGCTAACCAGGGTATATAGTGAGACCTTGTCTCAACAAACAAACAAACAAACAAACAAACAAACAAACAAACAAACAAATGTGGTGCTTGCTTGGGCAGCACATAAACTAAAATTGGAACATACAGAGAAGATTAGCATGGTTACTGTCCAAAGATGACACACAAGTTCGTGAAGCTTCTGTGTTTTCCTGAATACGAGCAAAGAACACTGTATGAAATTCTCAAAGAATCAATAAAAATATTAAAAAATAATTCAAACTTGGTCAGTCAAATTCCAAATTCCATTTCTATTTAAGTAAAGTACTATACTGAAAACTTTAAATTTGTTCCTGAAACTTGTTTTCTCTTTTAAGTTTATTAACTCTTTTAACTTTTTCTACTTTCAGATTTTTAAAAAATAAGGTAAAATTTCTTGATTCAGTAATGAACTAGGTGCCAACAGTCCGGAAAATGTCAACTCATGGTTGGAGAGCTGGCTTAGCGGTTAAGAGCATGTGCTACTCTTGCAAAGGACCAGAGTTAGAATTCTAGCACCTGTATCAGGCAGCTCCCGATTACCTGTTAACTCCAGTTCCAACGGATCCAACACCCTTTTCTGCACTCCATGGATGCTCACACATACACATGCACATACACACATGCACATAAATTTTTAAAAAGTTAGAAGAATGTTAAGCTTATATTTGTTCATGAAATGCTCATCTTGGAAATTTGTACAGAGGCACTGATGAATTTTTATCTCTAATAGCTATAATAGCATATCTCTAAAGAAAAAGCTTTCTTAAAAATATAAAAAGCAGCTAGGTGTGGTGACACATGTCTTTAATTCCAGCCTTAAGGACACAGAGGTAGGCAGATCTCTGTGAGATCAAGGCCAGCCTGGGCTACATAGCAAGTTCCAGTCCTGCCAAGGCTACATCATGAGATCCTGTCTCGAACAAAACAAAACAAACAAACAAAAAAACAGAAAAAAAGAAATTCTCGAAGAATCAATAAAAACAATTTTTGAAGGGAGCTGGAGAGATGACTCAGTGGTTAAGAGCACTGGCTGCTCTTGCAGAGGACCTGGTTCAGTTCCCAACATACATATAGTGGCTAACAACCATTTGTAACTCCAGTTACATGGAATCCAATGCTCTCTTCTGGCCCCCATGGGCATTGTTGACACAGGTTCAATCACATGCATGAAGGCAAATACTCATACACATAAAATTAAAAAAAAAGTCATGAAAATAGTAGGGGACTTATTGTGAAGAAAGACTTCAGAAAGAATGGGTGGGATAAGAGAGGATAATGAGGGTGAATATGATCAGACTACATCATACATGTGTGAAATTGTCAAAGAATAATTTATTTTTGAGACAGGAACTCACTACATTGACCAGACTGGCTTCCATCTCACAGAGATCCACCTGCCTCTGCCTCCCAAGTGCTGGGATTAAAGGTATATGCCAACATGCCCAGAAAAAAAAAAAAAATTTTTTTTTTTTTGGTCTTTTTGAGACAGGGTCTCTCTGTAGCCCCAGCTGTCCTGGAACTCACTTTGTAGACCAAGCTGGCCTTGAACTCACAGAGATCCACCTGCTTCTGCCTCCCCGAGTGCTGGGACTAAAGGCATGGGCCACCATGCCTGGCAAAGAATATTTTTCTTAAAAAAGCAAAAAACAGTCCTCTGTTTCCCTGGGCCTCCAGGACCCACAGACCTCTCTCTGACTCGCAGGCCTCTCCCCAGGGTAAGTCAATCGTGCCTTCCATGCCTTGACTCCCCCAGCCTCATTCACCCTCCCATCTCCCAGGCCATCTCTCCTCCTAGCCTGGGTCCTGTCCCATTCCTTGTCTTGGGGCCCCAGACAGCTGGGGAACCACTACTGCTTCCTGATCCTTTTAATCCAGACCAACTCAGTGCCTTCTCTGGTCCCCAGGAGCACTGCTTCTGGCCCTGGCCCTGCCCTCAACTCCCTCTACTTCCCTGAGCCTGCAACACCCCCCAGCCTCTTTCTGGGATGTGGGGGCTGACCTTTCCTCTTCCTGATCCTTTGCATCCAGACCAACCCAGCTCCTCAGTGCAGTCCCCAGGAGCCCTTGGGACTGCTTCCTGCCCCCATCTGCCTTTGCATCTCTGGGTGGCACAGCTACCAGTTGCCCTAGAACAGCATCTTTCCTGGGCCAGGCTTCCAGGCCAGTCCAACCCCCAAAATCCTGAGGCCAAAATCTTTCCTGGAGGGATCCAGACCTTAGGAAAAAGCCTGAGAGCATCTGATCCTCATCTGACTTGGGCCTCTATGGGAACTCCTGAAGACAAAAGCAATCTGGCCACTCCAACATAAAATCAAAAGAGAGAACCAGAAGCTTAGACAAACCAGCTTTTCAAGTCCAAAAAGTAAACCACAAAGACATATAAAGTTCATGAAAAGAAGCAGACCTAAACTTGAAGGCTTGAGTCTCACACAAGAATCAGAAACTACAAAAGAAATCCACATGTCAAAATCACAGTGAAAAAATAACATGAAAAACAAAAATAACATATTCCCACCAAATACCAATAGTCCTCTAGAGGAGTACAGCGAGAACCCCCTAGAGATAATGCAGGACATGGAACTCAAAAGAACA